TGCCAAAATAGCCATTGTGTGAAAACCACCAGTAGGTTTAATTTTCAAATGTGAAGTCATTTGTACTTTGCAAAGCCAGGGTGGCAGAGCTGCAGAGCAGGCCTCTGGAGGAGAGGGTGGCATCACACTGATGCAGCGGCTTGTGAATATTTGGCTTCTGCAAGTCACTGGAGGAAAAAGCACCCACGAGGCTGGTTGACTGACCAACTTAATGGAAAGAAAATGCACTGAATATGAGGAAAGCAGGAAAAAATTGGTTCTTGTAGTCTTTCCCAAGGCATCCGCTTCTGGCCATAGCTGGAGACGAGACACCAGCGCTGATGAACCTTTTGCCTGACAGATATAGCTGCTCTCCCGGGACTGCTGTGTGCAGAAGGTAATTGTGACCAAGCTCCCATCTGTGCCATGAAGCTGGAGACAAGAAAGTGGCGAAGAGCTTTCAGAAAGGTAAAATATATAGAAAAGCATCTTTTCTGTCCTGTTGGGAGGCTTGGCTATGGTTTCTGAATTACTGTGACTTAGCAAGAAAATTGAGAAAATGACCCAAACCAAGGTCCAAGTGTTCAGAGCTATACAAGTTCATAGCCCAGGCAAGTACTTCTCTTCTGAACGCCCAAAAAAATAATGGGAGTCTTGCAAAGGAAGTGTTCCTCAATACCGGCTGTCCTACATGTGAACTAGCCAGACTGGTTAAAGCTTAATTAAAAATTGCCAGAGTGGCTAAATTCTTGCCCAAGTGCAGCTGCAAAATATTAGCTGTGGGCATATTTTAGACCTTAATTAGTAACACTTGCACTGAAGGACCAAAATTGTGCATGAATGCAGCTGCAATCAATTAATCAGTTAGGCATTTCTGTAGGCAATGCAAGGGTCTCCTGAAAACTGTTTTTATGCCCACCTAGATTTAAAAAACTACAAAACTTCTATGCAACAAACTACAAAATCAAAGATAACTACAAAATGTCTTTATTGAAAAAAGCAGATTATAGCATCTAAGGTTAAATGAAACTTCTGACTTTAATATTAAATAACTTAAGAGGATAGCAAGTAGCTTCTTCAGATAAATAAATCTACATTTCCCATTTTTTTTCTTGAACAATCAAGGGAATCAAACACTGGAACACAAAACCACAAGTAATTCTAAAGACTAAAAGACAGAAGCACATTGAAAGGTTTTACAAGGAGATATATATACAAAAATAGTTAAACTAATGTATATTTTCAGCATGTAAACTAGTTACATGATATACAAACTGGGAATTCATATATTTCCTACAAAATAAAAATCAATGTTGGTCCAAGTTCTTGGAAGAAAACTATATTCTTTTAAAGAAAATGAAAATATTTCTCAAATGAAAACTTAATTTAAGTCAAATTATATACTCTAGTTACGGCATTAGTTACAGGATGAATCACAAACTTTTAAACTTTTCTTGAAACACAAGAAAGCAGCTTTTGTCTCCTTTAGAGCTTTGGTTTACTTAACTACTCTGGAATTTCTGGTCTTAAAGAGCTCCTCTGACCATGTTTTCCTTTTGAAGCTCCACCTTACAAAATATACACACACACGTGCACACAAGTGAAAGGAAAAGGAAAGAAACCCAAACAAACCTCTTTGAAAGCTCAATTATCTGAGTGCACTCTTTTGTTTCATTTTCAAATTATTATTTTGGTCCTTTCTTTGGAATGTATCCTCCAGTGCACGAGGGACTCTGAATCGCCCACAACAGCTTTGTGCTGTAAGGACTTTGTAAGATTCCTTACCAAAATGGAAAGGTGTATTCCTGATGCAACTGAGCATAAGCTGTTATTAACTTCATAGAAATATTCTGAAAGTACAGCAAAGGCCTCTGAAGAACAATCACACCATAACATAAACTCTAGAAAGGTTACATCTGTGTTGAACTGATTTTTGAACTGATTTAACATAATGATACTCCTTAAGAAAGTAATTAAAAGAAGCTTTCTCATCTACATAATTCCCCAGACGGGAGGCAAAATGTGCAAAAACTGTCACTAAAAGAGTACAGCACATCCTTATTTTAGATTCTGATTTTATTGATTTTATTTTTCTCTTTGATTGAAAAAAAAACTGGCAAATTTCACTCAAGCTGCAGTTTTTATACTAAATGCTGGAAAAGCAAAGCTGTACTTCATTATACAGTAATAGAATGCACCTGTCTATAGAAAATACTGGAACAACAACTGCTGCTTTCTGGTTTTAAACTAATTGCTTAGTCTATCTTGAACTATTACCTTTTGATATTTTTACCGTGATGATATGTAACCCATTGGAACGGAGTAGAACTGCTACAGGGGACTGACAAATTAACATGTGAAATTAAATTAAATATTATTCTGTTCTACAGCATGATCATTTTCAAAAAACAAGAAAAGGTCTTGTATGTACATGTTAGTGGGCTGTCCCTTGAAAAGCATTTTGGACTGGAAACTTAAGCTTGCCACTGCAGGAGGCAAAGTGCTAAGAAAGGTACTGGCAGGGCTGAACGCCAGAGTACGTCACCTCCATCTCTGACCACTGCGATATTGAAGGGTTTGCTTCTATATTGGTAGAGCAAAGCACTTTTCCAGTACAGTGAGTACTGTTATGGGATGACTTGCTCACAGGAAGAGACACAAACCTTCTCTCTGTATTTTAATGATCATTTTCTTAATTTCGGTTCCTTAATGTATATTGTAAAGACAAGCGAGTGAAAATGCCTCAAAGCTAAATGTGGTCCAAAGCAGCTTCCGTAAGTGGAAAAAGTATTACATTGCAGCTGATGCTGAAAGTTTATTCTGAAGCTCTGATATCTTCCATGTTTGTAATAATATAAAGGAATTGACCTAGTTGTACAGTCCAATTTAAGACTTTTTTTCCCCCTTTTTTAGCATTTGCTCCTTGAGTGAGAGACACACATACCACCACTTCCTTCTGAGGCGGGACCGGTGGCTACAGACACAGAGGTAACGTGTTTGCAAATGCCAAAAAAGCATGCATGCTCCTAATGCCCTCTCTTTTGCAGACCTCTTAAGTCACACCGTAGAAACGGGGCACCAGCTGCACTGTAACTCCTTCAAAACATGGCTATCACATTAAGTATGTTAACTATAAACTGATATGCAGTAATTAGAAAATGACATTTTAAAGGAGCATCTGACTTGCCGAGGAACATTCAATAGGACAGGTTAATCTAGGCCACTGGAAATCTGGCAAAAGTTCAGGAAACACACCTTTTGTTCCTTACGAACAGAAAAGAAATAGTTCACAGAAATTTTTCCTGCCCCTTTCCCCTTAAGGAAATTCCAGACTATCGAAAAGTTCTGTTAAGGGAGTTAATTATTCCACTTAGGAATTAGTGTCCATGGGATGCTCTTTGTACTGTTCAAGAGCACCACAAATGGCTTTCAGAAAACCAGTGGAGCATAAGAAACTAAACTGCAATGGTGTTGCCAAATAAGTCAAGTCATTTCATCAGTCTGCGTGCTGAATTTAACATGGGCTCATTTCCGAATGGATCAGTCAGATTCTTGACATGTTGAGAACTGGCATGGAAACGTCCCAATTTACACGCGGAGAATCTGGTCTGGTATTTCCACTTCCTCTGGAGCAGAAGAATTTTATTTCATTGTAATTTTGGATACAGTTAAAGACAGCAACGATGGATTTATTTAAAATATAAATTCAGGAAGGCTGGATCAATTCTCCTGAGAATGCAAGGAATTTTTTAAACATACAGATGTGTGATTTGCATGTAAATCATCAACACATGGTAGAAAACAAAACCATAAAAAAGATTCATCTAACTTCCTATATGGAAGACATATATTTCCCCAGAGCTCTGAGGTTACTGTAAAAGCTTATGCAAAATATGAAAGTGTGTACATTCTATGTACATCTAATACTTGTTATAAAATACCAATGTTTCAATGGTCTGACTCTCCAAACTATTCTTTCTGCTAAGCTGTACTTTGTTTTCCAATGAAGACAATCACTGTAATCAGTTCAAAAGTATATCTAGAAAAGAACACAAAGCTGAAGAGATAATACAAAAACCACCATCCCCCTCGTTTTTTAATAAGGTATCAGCATACAATCATAAAGCAGTTGGTAACAAAGTCTTGTATAAAACAAGTAGTATAAAGACAAGTGTATCTTTGCATAGAAAGGGGCTGCTAACCCTATTACACAAAAAACAGGTTTAAAAGGCAAATTGTTTAGTAAGTGCCAAATGATTAAGTTGCTATGAATGCATTTTGAAACCATGGCTACACTTGTACACAGCAAGCAATTGCAGGGGTCTGTAACTTTCTTCAACTCTTATGCCCTGCATGTGCCAATCTTTTGGATATATTCCTCTGTAATGTGGTTTTTATATGAGATGCTTGCCATATTTCTTCAAGAAGTTAAATAGTCTTTGGATGACTCTGGAACTTGTAAGAGGGAAAGCTGGCCTGACACTTCTTCACAGAATGCCATTATTTAATGCCTGCTGAAAACTGTCATTGCTAAAAACACCTGTTTGCTCCCTATTCGCTACTTCTGGGAATCTAAGTTTTAAAAAAATGTAAGACAGTATTCTCTTAGACCAGAATTCAATGAAACTAGCTAAAATGCTAGCATTTATCTTATCATGCCTGCTGCAATATGATAAGGTGCTAACTTTTGGAAAGTAATTCTACACTCCTTACTTGGGTGAAATCTCCACTGAAGGAACGTGAGCAGGGAGTGCAGAACAGCCCTTTGTACCACTGATTTTTAGAAATGCTGCCATTTACAGTTTAGTGGTGAATTATCTGTTCAAGTAGATGGTGTCTCAGTGAAAATGGCTAGATAGAAGAATGCATATGTACAAGATCAGAAAAGGACCCCTCACCTCTGATTTAAAAAATAAATAGCTTGTTTAGATGGTTATTACTGGAATCTCATCTTTAAACGAACAGGAAAGTCATGTTTCAATTTTTGTCTTCTCTTTCAAACGGCTTACTAGAAATGTCTTTCAGAGTTCTGTGACATGCATTGGATAGCTCGGAGGTGGATGCGATGGCAATTTAATATTAAGGCGCCTGATGTGACAGCTGTGGCAGAGCAAGTGGCCCTCTAATGGGTAACAACGGTGGCCTTCCTCATCATTCAGCTGCAAGCCACAGTCCTAGAAGAAACATATACATCCTGGATTAGTGAGGGATTCTGGTAGATCATCTCACAACAATGTCAATCTATGCTGCGTAACACTGAGAGGTCCTCCCATGCCTCCAAAGCCAGCAACCTGAAGAGTTTTTGGTAAGTAGACGCTATTTCATATTAAGCCAAATAACATCACTGAAATCTAACAGGACAGCCTATAGTAGTACCCAGCATTTTTCCCCTCCATTGTTTCCCATTCTGGTCTTGTCTTCATCTAGTAAATATTGATGCAAATCAGACAAAAACAGGTCAAGGATTGACCCTGACACATACAACCTGGAAGAGGTTAGAACAGAAAAGGAGCTAATTCTGCAACAAGGCAGCAAGCAAGAAATGGGCGAGCATAACTAGAGGATGGGTGGAGTGAGGAGGAGGGGGAGGTGAGCCATGTTTTATTTCTGAAGCAGGGCTGTGCTTCTTTAACTTGGAATTAAAAAAAAGTTAAAGACTTCAAGGCCAATGGTCCATCTTTAGTACCTCTGGGACCGGCACATAACTACAGGTGACATGGGTGAACAACAGTGGAGGAACAGAGATAAAAAGTGAAGCAACAAACAATGACCCTGCCTGCTGACAATTACATGCACTGCAGTAGAGACCATCCTGGTTCTCAGTTGTCATCATTATAATTTTGAGGACATTTGAAAGCTGTGGCAGTTTTGTGCTTGGATTTAACATTTCAAGTATGTTAAACATTTAAACGTTGTTACTGTGACCAGTCCTGACAAACCAGAGATTCTGAGTATGTACCTGTGCACTTAATAGAAAGGAAAAAAATTGAACTTCTGGGGCATATATAGGTCACTTTAGTATTGGAAACTGATGCACAGTCTTTAAAGTACAATTTTTCAGCTTGCATAGCTCAAGTTAAAATCCTCAAATTTTACAATTCTGAAATAAGAATGAAAAATGGGTTTTAAAGGAAGCTTTAAAACTGGAGTGTTAGTTTAGGGAGGCTTCTAAACAAAGTTTCTTCCAAGGTGTGTTAATATATGTTACATAATAACTTCATAGTCCTTCATGTAAGATTTAAAGTTCAATTCCTCATTAGAATTTAACAATTGCAGGTACCCTACTGTTCATACTTTTTTTCTTCTCCAAAATTGTATCCCTTTTCTGCAATGAGAAAGTCTGCCTTCCCAGTGGATCTCTATTCTAGAATGGGGGGGTCTATTGATCTGCAAACTGGCTTGAACTTCTCAGCAGAAGTTAAGTAGTTGCACAAGAAAGAGATGCTATAGAAAAGGAGCAAAGTTTCCAACCCGGCTACTGACTTCGCATGGGGACCAGGTGATGATGGCATTAATGGCATTTCGGAAGTGGCTGCATATGTCATCACAGGCATTAGGCCTTTGCAAAAGTCTCCATGTGAACGCCTCAAAATACCGGCACTAACTTTTCTAGCAGTATTTGGACACAGCAGTGACCCAGCGTGTACAGTTTGAGAGCCTCATCCAAGACCATTAAGCAGTAACCTACCCTTGTTAACACGTGGCTAACCCCCGATCTCTGTACATAAATGCAATCTGCCATTCTGGGCAGATGGGGAGGCAGCTTGATGTACCTCAAACTGGAAGGAGAATGGGGAAATGAATAATGAAACAGAACTGAAAATAAACCCCCATTGGGACAGCCTAATATAAAGTCAACAGCCTGAGAGAGAGGGGAGGGAGCTGTCATCTTAGGTGAGGCCTGCACAAAGAATAGATGGAGGAAGAAAGAGGAGGGAAGTACAGCTCTCCAAAATGCTGTGATTTCCTGTGCCAATTCCTTTTTAAAAATTAATAGAAAAGGGCAGAATATCAGGTATTTCTACTGGAAGGAGAGAGCTGACTGTATGGGGTCCTCCTCACAGGTAGGTTCATATGCATTTCAAGATGCCCTGAATTAAAAGAAACTACTCCCATAAAAGTAACAGAAAGTCAGTGGTATCCTGGTCTCTTTTCTAGTAAAGAATCAACACTTATCCAGCATGGAAAAACACAGACCCCCTGGAAGAGCCTTCCAAGTGTAGGAACAAGGGTCCTTCCCTGCACAGGCAATGTGAACACAAGTCTCCTCAGATCAGAGCCACACAAACTGTATCCAGAGATCAGGAAAAGGAGAAATGTCACCTACTCTTTGTTCTCTCCCCACCTGGAAGTATTGAGAAAATTCAACCCAAACAACCAAACCCAGCTTTTGAAGTTAATATACTGGGGAAAAGAAACAAACTAATTTGGTACTGAAGATGGCAGCACCACTTGCACCCCAGCTAGCACTCATCTCTTTGCCTCCCTCCAGGAGCCGTGGGGCAGAGCCCTACCTGCCCAGGCGTGCAAGAGCCAGCAAGTGAACCATGAGGTGCAACTCGGGCACCTACCAAGAGGCTGCTAGTTATTAGCGAGGCCTTGCCGTGGGACAGGCCGGCGGAGGCGCCTGATGCTTACCTCGCAGTGATAGCACTCCACATGGTAGTCTTTGTCCATTGACACCACCCGAATGGTCTCCTCAGAGCCCTGTTGGGGAAGCAGAGAAAAGGTAAGTGGTGTTTTCTCAACCTTCTTTCAGTGCCCAACATACTGCTTTGGAGAGCTGTTTCCCTGGGGGATCCCCTCTTCCTCACAGAGCTCTGTGACCGCTGAGGGTCTTGTTACCTGGTGCACAGCACTGCATTGTTGGTTTTGCTTTTAGCAGCAGCATGGATATCTGACACACTTAAGCTGTAGAGGTCATTTGGGTAGTGTAGCCAAAACTTTATTCTCAAGGGACAAGTTAGTTTTGAAATCAATTTTCCAAGGGCACCCAGGAGCTGAACAAATTACCAGCCAAAAACTATGACCTGCTGATTGGGTAACTCTTCCTTGTAGACATCCTGGCCTGGGTTTTCTGGGACTTGTATTCCCCTCAAACCATCTGGTGCACAGCTATTTTGCACATGCACATGTCCCTATATGTTCCCCATAGGGATTTACATACCAGTCTGGCAGGTAATTATGTGCACAGGCCAAAACCTCAGCGTGAGGGTGGATGCAGTGGAGTTGTGTAATTCCTGGCTGAGCCCCAGGCCCTGCAGAGCAGCCCATACCCTTCTGGTAACCTCACGCTCTTTCCCCTGATCCACTCTGAAGCCTCTGAAGACAGAGCTCATTAAATTTGTTGCCTTGCATTGTTTCCAGTTCCAGGTGTGGTTTAAAGCATCAGATATGACGTAGACTATGTCTGAGAGAAGCTGTGAGCAAGTTAGTACCTGCACTGCTAGACTTTTAACTAACCTAAGAAACCTCCACGGGAAACAACGTGGAGTCTACCCTGCTAGCCATCAGACAAGTCAGCAGTAGGACTGCTTCCACTCCCACCCCCAGCTTTTTTTTTTTAATAAGTCATTTTGTAAGACAAATCCAGTGACATTTACATAGGTGTTTTCTCCTCACATCCCATCAGCAGGACAAGTAGTTCTGTCTCAGCCTTTATAAGGTTTTAAATTATGTGATACTGAAATCATAACGACAAATAGAGAGTAACAGGAAGAGCGATAGAGGTAGGCATGTTGAGAGGCTCTAGCCACAGGCTTTACTGGGGCACAGCAGCTTATAGGATGCAAGTTCTGGCTCTATAAACATGACAAGAGCAAAAGGAGGGAGGTGCTGAGGCCCTTGCTTACAAATGAGCTGCTCAGTGACCTCAGCATTGGGAACTCAGAGGGTCCTGCACCCACCAGAGTATGAGGTAGAACCACCGCGGGCAGGCAGAAAAGGGATGTCTTAATGCAGAAGTCTTATTGTGCTAACTATACTGTCAGGATAGGCTGAGGTTGCAAGCAGGTCATCCATTTGGCTTCCCTTTTAGCCAACTTTTCTACTGCCTTTTCCACCACTTTAAGCACTTTCATTACATTGCCACTCCAGGATGACAGACTGCGCGGCCTTTTCACAGGGTCAGGGTAACCCTCAGATGTCTTTTCAAATTTGGGCATCTTAACAGATCCACATCAGAAATGCGTATGCAGCAGACAAGGAAAATTGCTACTTGAGCTAATGGGAGATTCTAAAAATAAACAGAAGTTTACTTCTTGGGTTGTTCTTGGAGCCTCAGTCAGGGCTTTCCATTAAATGAGATTTATAGCAGCATAATTAAGACCCAGAAAGCACCCTAAAGATACAAAGTACTATGCTACAAAAGTAGTATGACTGTTACAACCTCTGGGAATGTTTGGGAGTGACATTACTGTGGAACTGTATTTAATTTAGTATCTGACATGGTATAGATTCTGGAAGAGGGAGGAAAAGCATCTAATGTGTGTTTCTAGGAAGTGTTTATATGCCAACAGCTGTTTTCTCTGAAGAGTCAGTGCATGTCAACATGTACCTGTGCTGGTAGGATCGGCTGGTTACAGGAAGCGCATTTTGGTGCAAAAACCCTAGGGTGCAAGAAGAAAGGATTCAAATAACATTTAAAGCTTCTTCACAAAATAGAACCAAGAGAGCTATTCTAACCATGCCTTGTTTTTAGCAAAATGTAGATCTGCGGGATTTGAAACACCCCTCAACGTTTGATGAAACATTGAGGGAAAAGGAAGTTTGGAAGAGGCTGATCTACCCCAGCTATATTGCTTAGGTCTTCCTGACCTCTAGGCACAGCGAATCCAGCCCTCTTCCCACATGTGCCCTTTCTCTTACCTTCCTTTATGCATAAAGCCATTCAAATTCTTCCAGAGACTCACTGCTTTGACTGCAAAGCAGCTCCTGACTTGGGGACTGTCACCATCATACATACAAACACATAACCATGCTAAATAGAAGAGGGGCTGATCATAGCTAGGATCCTCTTAAACCAAACACATCAACTGGTCTTATCCACAACTGCATTTTATGACAATCACTGGGCAAACATTCACTCTATCCTTGTAACACAGTCAAATTGGTACCGATAAGGTTGAGTTCAGAGTGATTTACTCTTGCTGCATAAGCTGAGTTATTGGCTGACTGGGGCTACAAGCATTCATGTTGCCTTTGAGTAGGAGCAGAAAGGAGCCCAAAAGCAATCACTTAAACCACAAAACTTTTGTCAGGTGAGGCTGAAATCATGCTAGCACTAGCTGCTAACTACAGGTCTACAGTCCAGTCTAGGTTAACCTAACTTACACTCACCAGTGTCATGCACTACCAGAACCTTGACTCTTAGAAACAGCCAGCAGAACCTGCCATCACTGGCAGAATTAGCCTGATCTAGTTAGTATTGAAAGTCCTGAAAGAAGTAGAGCTACGGCCACCAGAGACGTACATCCTCTCACGCAACTTCATTTTCAATCTCACCTAGCCACTGTATGCCACACTGGGCCCAACGAAGTGAGCTGTAATGTAACTTCAGAATACTTTACAAATGCAACATGCAAGAGGAGCACTCAAGGGACATCTGAGCAAATAGGAATGACCCTTTTTATCTACTATGAGGCTTATAACTATACCAATAATTTAACTACTATAATCACAATGGATCTGTGTACTTACGTATGGTAGTCTTTGACACAGTAAATATTGTTCTCCACATCTACAGTGAAGGGGACTCCATCCAAACACTCATTACACACCACGCAGCGGAAGCAGCCAGGATGATAGGACTTTCCAAGGGCCTGTAAGATCTTAAGAGGCAAACAGCAAAATAAGCGGTTGCATGATTATATGAGATCCCACCATACACTGCTGTGACTGATTCTTTCTTAATAATGACAGTGAGAAAAGCACTTCAGGATGAAATTACCACCCTGCAGATCTGTCAGCAAGGGGCCTTTTAAAACAATCAACTTGCTTATTTCAGTGGGTTTCAGCAGGCTCCCAATAGAGTGAGAACTGTGAAAATCAGGCTAACGCCCATCAGCCTTAGCTCTGCAGGGCCAATACTGCCAACAGAAATTAAAATGGCTTCAGAGATCATTTCTTGGAAAACCTGTTGCAGCCAAATACAAGTTACTGGGATACAGAGTTAATTCACAAGACTTAACAGGCTATGAGACAGAATCCAAACCAGTCATTACTCAAACATAAAAAATAAACTAACAAAACAAGCAAATAAATAGGTGTTCTATTATTAATTAAGGATCCTAATCCACCACAGTTACTGACGGGGTATCACTCAGCCATAGGGGCACATCAGTTTCTGTTAAAATTCCATCTATATCCATGTGTGTGGATACAGATCCATCCATCTGCCCACGCTCTTC